AAAAAAAAAAAAAGAAGAGAACACAGAAAAAAGTCTTCATTATCTCATGGTAGACAAAAATTTCTTAAACAAGCACTAACCATGGAAAAGACTTCATTACACTGAAATGCAGAATCTCTATTCATCAAAAGGCAGTAAAAAACCGAGCCAGAGCAGGAGAAAATCTTTGTCACAAATATGTGGAGTCTTCGAAAAGTTCATGAAAAGATTGGTACTATCTTTTAATTCCATTTTTCCATGAACTTCTTCAAGTACCCTTGTATAAGTGACAAAAGACTAATATACAGAAAATATATTCTATGTACACATGTATATCAACTGCTATACATCTGAGAAAAACCCAATTAAAAATTGGCAAAATATTTGAACTAGCATTTTTTTTTCCTTTTTGTCTTTTTTTTTACTGACTGGCAACGGGATCGCAACCCTCGGTGTTGCGCCCGCACCGCGCTCAGCCAGTGAGCGGGAACCGGTCTCCACATGGGATCCGAACCCTCAGCCGGAGCGCCACGGCGCTCCCAAGCGGCACACTCTCCAGTGCGCCACCGGGCCGGCCCTGAACTAGCATTTTACAAAAAAGAGGACATTCAAGTGACGAAGAATTGCTGCTCAACTTCCTTAATAACAAAGGAAATATAAATTAAATATGATAACATTAGAAACACAAAAAATTGGCAAAAAACTTAAAAATATGATGATGCCAAGGGCTGGCATAGATGTGGAGCAAAAGGAACCCTTGTAAACTGCTGGTATAAGTAGAAACTTGTACAGTATCTTCAGAGAACAGTTTGGTATTGTCTCATAAAATTAAAGATGTACAAACCCTATCTATCAGCAATTTAACCGCTAGATATATACACTAAAGAAATGCAAGCACACGTGCACCAAAATATGTGCACAAAATGTTCATAGTCACATTGCTTGTAATAGCCAAAAATTAGAAACAAGTTACATGTCCATCAAGAATAGAATGGATAAGTAAATTATAATATGTTCATAACAATGGGATAGTACATATACAACCATGGAAAAAAAATGAACTGTGGTTTTTATGTAGTTTTTTGTGAAAAAAAAACCACATAATGTTTATTCATACAAAGCCAGGAAACAGATAAAAACTAAACCTATATTCATACATAGGTACTAAAGCTTTAATGAAAAGCTAAGAAATGATCACAATGATTATCAACAAAGGAGTACAATGTTGTTTGTGATTGTGGAGAGGTATATCAGGGGCTTCTTCAGTGATGGCTGTATTCTATCTTCTGACCTGCATACTCCCTGTATGGGTCTTTAATTATTTGTTAAACTGCACAAATGGGTTTTTTTTATGACATTTCTACATCTCATTTGAAAGAAAAAAATAAACCATAGACGTTCAAATAAATAGTATACATCTCTAAAAATATTTTCAAAACTAAACTGTGGGAAAATATTTAAATATAATTTTATGTGAAAATGTAGGTTATAAAATGGTAAGTGCTGCAAAAATTAAATTTGTAGAAAGCATATTTTATATATGCACATAAAATATGCTGGGAAAGAAATTTTTTAAAGTTAGCATTGGTTCTAACTGGGAATTTAAATTGTCTTCATTGAGGATTTCTTTACTTTTGAAATTATTTAAAATAGTCATGTTTTATTTTTATAATCAGAAAGAAACAGTATTTTTTTTAAAAGACAGCATAAAGAATTAAAACCGTCTGACAAATTAGTAAGGGAAAATCAGGTGTATGTGGGTTGGGGTTTGGAGCCACCACATTTTCTCAAAGGGGAAACTCAAGGGATCAGGTTACCTGATGGGCAAGAATTTTCAAGAAAAAGAAAGCAAGTTATGTATTGACAAAGAAAAAGGATTTCAGAAAACAAGAGGAAATAACAAGCTACCTTGCAGGTGTCTTGTGGATGTTCAACAGCCATTCTTTACTCCTCTCTGCGGGCAGGGCAGAACTGGGGAAGGAGAAAGGAGTCAGCAAACATCAGGCTCTTCTGGGAACCCGTTAAACCATTTCAGAGGTCATCGTGGCTCAGCCCCAACCGCCCACCACCTACAGAGGAAGGCCAGAGAAGTCTAGAGCGTCCGCTCAATCCGGTCATTACAGACATGAACAGGACTACTGCACAAAGCTCAGGGCAGTGACCCTGAGCTCGCGGAGGTCTCCTGTGGCTAGATTCACAATGGCACAGACAAAGACGTCCCACACCTAGAGTGGCTATTCGAACACATAGTCATACAAACCCACTCACACGGAAACATCACAGACATCCCAAACCTAAACCCAATGGACCACACACGGTCACACAATCACACACACACCACCGGGACAAAGTCACAACCGCAGAGTCCATAGGCACCTCTCACACTCACCGTGCCATACACCTTGGGGACACAGTGAAAAGAACAAATTCACGTGCATCCTACACCAACAATCTCTCTCTCTCTCTCTCTTTCTCTCTCTTTCACACGCACACACACACACACACGGAAACAACCACAAATCTCACAGTTAACGCGTCCTCCACCTACACACAGAGTTCAGCAAGTGGTCATAAATACACACCTCCCCCCAAGGGGACACAAAGTCACAACCGCGGTCGGGGAATCTCACACTCGCAAACATAGTGCCACACCCGGTCATACAGTTAGGCTCTAATCACACACACACAATCATAACCGCAAATCAAGTCCTCCTCCCCGCCCTCACATTTCCGTACACGGTCATCCAGAGAACACCCACCACACAGCCCGTCACAATCGTATACACACTCCTCACAATCTCTCCTTCTCAGCCTGCTCCCGCACACACCCCGCACAGGCGGGAGGCTGCTGACGCGCCCGGCTCGGAGCCGCCTCACCTACGCCTGCCTCCTCCGGCCCAGTCAGCTCCGCTCCGCTCTATTCCAAACAAGTCGAACCCACCTCTTACAAAGCCCTCAGGCTGTTCGCCTTAAACCCGCGGGAAAATCTCGCCCACTCCTCAGGAAACTGTCTGGTTCTCGCGGAAGGGAGCGCTGGGCCTAGAGGCCTCTGGGAGGTGTAGTCCCGGAAGCGACAGGCCGCCAAAAGCTAAGGCCTGGTCATCCTGATACGCGTGGTGCGGATCCCGGAACAGGCCAAACTTCCTCTTAGAGCGGAGCCGCTCGCTGGAGCCTTCCGGGAATCTCAGGTGACAAGGACTCCCTAGATCAAACTCTCTAAACCAAACTAGTCAGGCTCCTCTGATTGCTCGTTTGGGTTAGGCCTCCTTGGCCTGCGAAACCCACTTCAGCAAGAATCCTGCCAAGCCAGTTTAGCAAGAATCCCCCACCCTTGATTTTTAAGTTCCTCCTGGTAATTTACCATCTATTGACTCCCTCACCCTGCCCGTTGGCTATAAATTCCCAGATACTGTTGAATTAGAGGTTGACTATTGCAATAGTCTTTAACGAAGACTTCCTTGCCTGTTTGTTTAACTTGTCTGGTACAATTTTTCTTTGACACAACCAAGCCTCCGAGTGCGGCTCCAGGCTTCTGCCACTCACCTGGGGACATACTGGGCCGCAAGACCTCCTGGGAAATGTAGTCCAGGACCTGGCCAGGGACGGGATGGGCCCGACCCAAATGGGCTGCGTCCTCTAGGTCCTGAGGCGGGGGCGGGCAACAGTGACTGGACTAACTGTGCCGGGTAGGCTGCGTGGAATTCCGCTTCGCGCTGGGAGCGCGCAGACGCTTTATGAGGCAGGCAGCGGCGGGCCGTGTCGGGGAGCCGGGAGAATGAACCGAATTTGAGCGTCTGGGACCAAACCAAACTCTGAAAGTGAGGAGGAAACTGCGAGCCCAGTCAAATATGTGAGAGTGGGCAAAGGAAGGCCCGAGTGTGTGTGAGACCCCGGTAAGACTGCGTGCGCAACTGGGTTTGGGAAATAGTTCAGTGAAAGAGAAACTAACTGCATGCTGGTAAAATTGGTGTGTGCGTGTGAGCGATAGGGTCAAGATGATGTGTCGCTTTGGAGAGTCATATGGGGGGTGGGTGGGAGGCAAGATTGTGTGTGGATCTGTGTATATGTATGAGTGTGTGTGAGATCACCTGAATGTGGGTCACCGCATGAGTGGCTTAGATTGTGACTGTGGTGGAATCTGAACCCTCTACATCTCATTTCTTCATATTATGATAAGGGTGTGTCTTCCTGGAGCATCCATTTTAAGAGGAGAAAAATGCTGCCTGGTTAAACTTCTAGCATATAATTCAGACATGTAACATTCAGACATTTCTTCTGGACTAGAATACAAAATCAGTAAGACTTTTTAAACAGCATATTTCTGTTATGGGGGTGCCTTTTTGAAATTATGTCCAGCTCCCTCCCCACAGGTATTTTGTCTTATCTGTTCTTTAAGAGACACTGGTCGGTAGACATTCAGAGGTGTGATTGTTTATTTCAACCAGGAACATCAGCCACGATTAAAAGATGTTTCAGAGAAAGCTGTACAGGAAAGTGATGCTGGAGAACTAGAGCAACATGCCACATTAGGTATGGATAGCTTCTCTGTATAATCCAAATTTGAAAGTAAAGTGCTATCTCTTTTCCATTTTTGAAATATTTAGCAACTGTACATGGCATAATGAATACAACTCTGAGATGCAGGCTTCAGATATTCTGAAGTCCTTTGCTATATGATTGTGTATGAAAGGCTATTTACTTTGTTCTTTATATGGTAACATCCTTAAAGACCCAGGCTCAGTTTCAGTTTTGAGATGGTGTTTGTATTAAAATTCACATCTTGTGTAATTTTCCCACGTACAGGCTTTCACATCACCAAACTTGATGAAATCCAGTTGGAACAAGAAGAGAGGCTGGAAGAAACTTAAAGGAGGTTCTGTCCAAGTGAGTGAGTGAGAACCAGGCAGAGCACAGATGTTCAGTGAGGGGGTTGACACCGCTGAAATGTTTTCAGGATTTCCTTATAGGCTCTGCTCTTCTTAAGTTTTAGTTGATGTGAATCTTTCATCATCATTCTTCTTCTCGCAACACCCTCTTGTACTTAAGCAGATCCTGGAGGACCATATTCCCATCTCCATTTTCATAGCCTTCATATGTAGTTAGTCCTTCATAGATCTGCAGTCTTTCAAAACACTTATTGTTGCATACGAGGTTTATTGTTATTACATTCCCTTTTCTTCCTTTCCGTTGTTAAAAGGTTCAGGGTTATGTTTTACATCTGCATTGTCA